CTTTCTACAATGTACAGTCGGGAGCGCATGGCAGCCTTAAAAAGCTTTGGCCCTATAATGTCAAGCCTTAGGAAGAGAGCGCGTTTTACGCCGTTGGACCCCAAAGCCAAGAGAGCAGAGGTTTATGGTTCAGGGTGTAGGGCTCTTCGGGTTTATAGAGGGGCCCTAAGCCCTAAACCCTTGCTGGAGTTCACGCGGAGGTCTGAGCTTTGCTTTGCGAAACATCGACTCCGCGAAGGCTTAGCGGGGGTTTAGGGGTTTGTGGGGTTTGTACGGGTTTCTAGGGGTTTTAGGGGTTTGAGGGGTTAGGGGGCGTGAGAACGGCGACGGAGTTTTGAAAAGGCTCCTCAGGTATTGGCGGGTGTATGTTTTGAGCCTTCGTAGTTCAGTCTTCAGAGTCCGGATCCCTCGTAGCATAGCATCGCTGATAAGGATCGGAAACTCTTTCGTGCTTGCGGTTTAATGGCTGGAAGGCATGCCTTTGGCTCTTTGAAAAACGGTTGTGCTTGTTTTTGACGGAGCATTCTAGGGACGAGGTCAGCATTATATGTAGGCGTTTTCGTTGCGTCTCGGATCCTTGGTGTCCACTCTGGTGGCCAGCAAGCATCTCGCAGAGAGCATTCCACTGGATTGCAGCGGCAATGCGTCCAGGATGCTGTGAAAATGGCAGATCTTGAGCTGAGTAGCCGTCGCGTCAGCCTATGCAACTGGGCGGAGACCACAGCTGGGACCAAATGCAGTCCCACGCAGAAGGCAGCACGGCAAATCATTGCACATGTCGCCGCCGCAAGCCATGAGTTTAGGAGGTGAGCTCTGTAGCATTTTATAGGCGATGTGTTGGTATCAAGAGCCTGCTATGTGAATTACAACCCCTTGCCTTACAAGACGCCTTTCAGCCTTTCTATGCCGCTCCTGTAAAACCAGATCAAAAGAGCAGCACGTATCGAATGGATCCTCACGCCGATCAGGCCACTATCGATTTCGTAAATAGACCCAGGCCGGGAGATACTGAAAGCTTATGACGAGCGCCGCCGCCCCGCGTCATGTGATCGGACTCCGTGGCATTTTGGGCTTCGATTCGTACCGAGGAGGGAGGGAGCAGGCCGTAGACCCCTGAAGCCCTACACCCCAAAACCTGCAAGCGCCCTCATGCCCTAAACCCATCAAAGACATCCCAGACACCCTAAACCCGCATTCTAGGGCCCTCACAGAAAGCTAGACCAGTACCCTTAAATTATAGGGGCCTTAAGATTATGATTCAAGATATACTCCTTAATTCAGCGGCATTGGGTTCTCGGGGAGGCTCCCGGCCAGGTTCCCAGCAGAAGGCGCCACCCTTACAGAGGCCACTGAGAGACTTTGCCTGGAGGGACGGTTTGTTTAAGGACTTATTTGGGAGTTCGGTCTATGGGGGCCCATAGATTCCAGGGCGGAGCAGTTTTGTTGTTTTTTGTTTGCGGTTCTGGGTTTAGTTTTAGTGCGTTAAGGCTTTAAAAGCGGGTTCAGGATTCGAGGGGTTTCTGCTTAAGCCCAAAACGCCCAGCTGAATTCGGTTTTCCGCGGCAGGATGAGGTTTGCTTGAGTGGGCACCTTGTTGCTTGGAGTTTATGCGAAAAGTTAGAAGGCGACGAGCACAGAGCGCCAGGTGTGCTGCTCAGGTCTGTGACAAGCGCGCCCATCTTGCCTTGGTCTCGTGAGTCTCGTCTGCACCTGGAAGGGCCAACTGAGCGCTGTGGAGCCTTGCGCTGGCCAGCGGCTTGGCGTGAGGCTCAGGGGCCCTTTTGGTATTGAAGGGGCCGGGGCTGGCATCACAAGAAGAGGCAGCTGTCGGAAGCAGGTGAGGTGGCAGCCACTCTCCTTCGTTTGCGTCCTTGCAGTCTCTCTGCAGTCCCATGTAGGAAGCTGTGCATGGGACCAGACATGTTGCTGCAGTTGCTGCCACAGCTCCCGGGCGCTCGAGTCTAGCTTCGAGTCTCTTTGTAGCGGCCGCAGAGCGCCAGGATGTCCCGCACCTTCTCCCGGACGGTTTCGAGAGCCGACTCAAACCCTCACAGGTACCAGCCGCTGCTCTGTGTGGATGTGGACGAGCCGAAGGACGAGCCGAAGGACGACGAAAGCCCAGTGCAGCGCTACATCAAGGCCACCATCCTGTGGCCAAAGGAACTGTGGTACGATATTCCTGAGGAATGTTCTGAGCGGGAGTGGCTTTGGCTGGAGCCCAGGCTGGGGACTGATGACCGTTTTTTGTGGCAGTTCCCCAGGCTGGGGCTCTTGGTGCGCTTGGAACTCCGACTCCAGCCCGGACCGCCTCAGGTCCTTCAATTGGAAGAGGGTGACCTCGTCGAGGAGGACGAAGACACGGACCCCATAGACTGCACCCGCGGAAGGAGACTGCAGTTCAAGTCCACCGGCGGCACCAACAATTCTGAGCCAGCCATGGAGCGGACGATCGAGCTGCAGGAGGGCGAGGACTTGGTGGGCTTTCGTTACGACGAGGTGGGCCTTGCTTGCAAATCCTTCTGTCTTGCAGGCAGAGCGGATTGGCTGACCGACATGCATTCGTATGAACATCAGAAAGTGATGTGAGTGCAGTCAGTATGCAAACTTGATGTGCGAATGACTGGAGAATTCTACATTGTAATCCCCGGTGCAAAGCTCGCAGGTCTCGCGCTTGACAGACGCCACCGATGCTCGCGAGTGGTACGACGTTTTTGCCTTGCTGCAAGACGCCAACGGCATCCGAGCCGAGCCGCTGTCCCGACAGTTTGCTTTTGGAGGAAGACATGGCAAGGTACCATACGTTCTGAAAGGGAAGATTCGCTGTCTGCCCGCTTGTGCAGAAGCACAGTTCGGCGACCAGCCAGAGACTTCCGGCGAGAAGACGGAGCAGCCTGCAAAGTGCTGCAGTGTTCTCCTCTACACCTCTGCGGAGCCAGAGGGGCCGGAGCCAGAGAAGCTCCGGGCCGTGGCTGCCCTTCGGAAACTCAGCGGCCGTGGACAGGATCACATCCTAGGTCTCGTCTATCAGAATAGCGACCTCTCGGATGTCGAGGGCCTCACCGGCCAGTCGCCGATGTTCTGGTTCGATCTGCTCGTGCTCACCGGGGCCGCTCGGCCTCGACATGTCAAACCTTTGAACTCTCAAGCATCTGTGAAGCATCTGTCTGCTTCCATGGTCCATGCCGTCCAGTCGAGGGCCCGAACTCAGGCAAATTCTGCTGGTTGAGGGTGGTTCAGGGCTCTCTTACCATGCTGGCCTTCGGTACGGATCAAGGGAGGGAGGGTCCAGGCTTTCAGGCGATGGGCGATGCACTCATGCTAGTCTAACTGCTCATGACGTGCATGCATGCGATGGCACGAGCACAAGCGCCCGAACCCCCTAACTACATCCATGTTCGCATTGTCTCCGACGGGAAGAGCGCACATGGGGCCTGCGGGCCTCACCCTGGCAGCTAGCCCGTCGTGAGGTTGCTGCAGACACTCACCCTCAACCCCCCAAGACACGTCCATGTTTGCATTGGCATCCCATACACGCTCGAAGCCATTGACAGAAACCTGCCGGCCCGAACGACGGGGATGTGATGAAACTCTAGGAGTCACTGTAGAGTCGTGTGGTCTGCAAACTGCTGTCAAGTGCGAGGGCCTCTTCTACTTGGACATCTACGGCGATGTGCAGACACTGCGTCTGTATGCCAGAGAGCAGACGTACGACTATCTCTGCTTCAACGCTGCCGGGCTTCTGCTTCCAGTCATGGTATCGCTACAGGATGCGTGGAACTTCGCAAGGAACAGCACGTCTACTGCGCGGGAGTCGCTGCTACGCTCGGTGCGCCGACTGCGGCTAAAGCTCCTTTCCACGATGCGTCCAGCCGGTCAGCATGCAAGCTTGGATGAGTTGGAGAATCGCTTGGATGTGTTCGGCTGGATCACTGACGAAGGCCTTCTTGCCGTGGCCTTGATGGCTTCCGTCGAGCCGCGGCTGCACCCCCCCGTCAACTGTAAGCTACTAGTTACTAGTAGCCTCTGTTTCCGCTTCACCAGCTTCTTCCAAGGTGCTGCAGATGCAGATGCTCTTCTTAATATGCTGGTCTTGGAGCTGCCGCACCCGCCACCCGCTGCTCATGGAGGCCAAGCACGCCGAGGCAGCGAATGCAATATGAATTTCTTTACTGACTTCTTTGAGAGCCTTTTTCTGCGGTCGTGATGCTTCGCATGCTCTGTTCGCCGGCAGGTCGGCGAGGCTACCGTGTCTGCTCTGGTGCAGGCGAACTTCTTCGTTGCGGCCTGCCTTCGGGTGGAGAGGTTCGAGGCCATGGATCTCAGCTCTCAGGACTTGTTGTGGCTCCTAGCAAAGATCGGCCTCTCCTGCTCCATCTTGGGCTACGGATTCGCGACACGTGACAAGCGGGACAGCCGCGTGCTGGGGTTGCCTGGCAGACTGGGCTGGGAGCTTCCCATGCTCCTCCTCCTTGTTCTACGAACCCTGGAAGTTTGCACCATGGTGGCAGCCATCAACTTCTTCCACTTCTCCCTACGGTGGGAGCACCTGAAGCTGGGAGGGCCAAGCTTGTACGTGGCTCTCGCCGGCCTCGCGAAGCTGGCCTTGCCGGAGGCAGGCGCAGCGGAGGTGGGGGGGGGGGGGGGGGGGGNNGGGCTTCTGTGCCATCTGTTGCAACCCCTCCCCCCAAAACTGATGGAAGCTTCTTTTGGGTAGGGAGGGATGTGGTGGAGCAGCCAGGTGCTTGTGGCGCCGATGGGCCACCCTGGCCAAATCTTAGAGCCCAAGTCTCTTCTACCGCTGAGTCGCTCCCTTTGGCTCCACGCCGCAGCCGCTGCCGCCGTGGTGGTGGCTCAAGTGCTCTTTCGCTGCGGCCTGGCGACCAGCCATGCGAAGGTGCGTGCGCCTTTCCGCAGGAAGGCCCGAAGATATGCTGTCATCGCAGGTTGTATAAAGTCGCGTGAAGGTCATTCCCGGCTGGGTTCTGGTGGCCTGGCTCGTGGTGGCCGTTGGCTGCCGCGGGGGTCTGCTCCTTCTCAGCCACTTCGACAAGCAGGCCAGGTTGGACCGAACAGGCTACCTCAGCTCCGTGTGAAAAGACCTTGACGAAGGTGCGGCAGCCGCTGTTCCAATTGAAAGGCTATTCCGTGGTCGCTGACGGAAACCTGGAAGAAGAAGGCATGAACGATATCAAGACCGTTTCAGATTGGCCTAATTAGCGCGTGAGGCTCCCATGCGTCTGTTCCGGCGTGTGCATGAGACGGAGAGAGAGGATGACAGGTCTGACAGGCCTAGCGAGATCCATCATCGCCATCACCTACACGGAGCTCGGCGCTGCACTGCAGCAGCCCGAGGTGCGGCCTGAAGTTTTCTGCACAACTTTGCGAGCCGCCCCGCCCCCCCCTGCCTGCTCCGTCCCTGCAGGTGCCGCTGGCAGCCTTGGCTGCCGCGGGCTCTCTGGAGTTGGACGTCGAGGCTGCTCGGCAGCTGACGAAGGAGCAGCTCCTTCGAATGAAAGGCTTGGGGGTGCCCTCAGGCGTGCAGTGGAGTTGAGGTCATTTGAGGTCGTCACAGCGCTTGCAGGTGCCTTGGACAGCCTCTGCGTGGGGGAGAAGGCCTTCGTGGCTCTCGCAGGAAAGCTCGAGCTCGTGCCGGAGCTGCTTGAGCTCGGTGTGCAGGAGCTCACCGTGAATAGCGATGCAGTCCCTGCGTGGCGCATCCAGTGCTACTAGTACTAGATAGTGTTGAAGCAAATGCAAATCTTCCGGTGTTCCTTTGAAAAAAAGCACGAAGCTCCCCAGGTCCGTAAGTGTTCTCGCCATGACGGGTGTGCGCCCTTCCCTGAAGCAGGACCTGCATTGCGGTGAGATGCTCCGCGAAGCTGGGGAAAAAGGAAAAGCATCCAATGCGGTCGTCGGCGCTCAGGGCTGGAGGGACGTAGGCTTCGGCAGATTGAAGGTGCTGTCACTGGTGAAGAGCCTCGGCTGGCATGCAGAGGGAGTTCTGGATCGCGACGCCTCCTGACGACTCTAGTATGCAAGCCTTGCAAGCTGTCGTGCGTGCATCTGTGCCTGAGGATCCACGACCACCGCGAGGATGTGTGGATGGCTCTTTTTACGGGTCTCGTGAACTGCGAAGCCTTAGAGGACCGGAAGTGGAGAGAGCGGCCAACTCATAGATGTCAGATGGAGTATCTAGCACAGTGAACGTGGACGCTTTGTTACTTGATTTCTGTGTTTCCCTGGTACTGATATAGGTCTTTCAGTAGGGAGCTGGAAGTGATACATGTTGGGTATTTTTCCGCATTGGATGCTGGCTCCAACAATCTGACACAAAGCGCTGCTCACGTTCTGCAAGTACCGTCAAACTTCCGAGTCGTTCCGTCCTGACGGAGCATTCTCTTGGCACCAAGGCTGCTGTGGAGGTCCTGCAATAGAATGTTGATGAACTTCCTAGCGTTGTGCCCACACTGCCCTCTCTTTCTGTCATCTCGACCTTGTCTTCGCCCTTGATTCAAGTCTCAAGTGCCCGCAGCAACTGGTCCTTTTCGGGAGGTAGACTCCGTCGCTCTCAGCGCCCAGTGCTTCAGCCGTCTCTTGTATCATGCCTCACGCCTGATCGGCCTCGATGTCGCTGTCAGAAAGTGGAGGTTAGAGGACTGCGCCGGAACTCCTCGGTCCAGATGCAGGCAGAGTCTCATTGAAGTGCCGTCTTCAAAGCCAGCCAGAGGAGAGCCAGCGCCAACGTCATCTGGATGACCCACCACTCAACAGCTCAGGTGCTCATCGAAGTACGTCGTCGGCACTTTCCAGTCTAAACGTTGTAAGAAGTCACCACCAAGGCTAGGCCCTTATCACGATGCATCGGGGCTGTGAGCAGTCCTCTTCATGCCTCACATCTGCAGAATCCTCAAGCCGAGAGGCCGACGAAGGTGATCATGGCCCGATCCCTATCAATGTCGCGGTTTCTGTACCTCGCTGCAGCAAGCTCCAAAACAGTGGCTGGAGATGTCCATCAAACTCAAGAATCCGAACAACGACGACAGATATCCAAAACAACAACCCCAAATACCGAGATAATACTAACCTGGATCCGAGGAGCGTGTCGCTTCAGTCTTTTTTTGGGGGGGGGTCCTGCTGCCTTGGGAGGAGCTCGCCGTCTCTCGTTGCAGCAACATCCCAGACGAAGCCTGGGAGGCCTGCAGCAAAGCGAACTGGCCGGGGCTGCGATCCTTTCGCCTCCATGCAAGGCCACCTTGGCTGCGGTTCATCCATGTCCTAGTTCGGCACGCGCATATGTTTTAGGTGGTTTGCTTTCGTTCCTGGCTCTGAGTACTGGGCCTCGGCCTTATTGGGATCGAGCCGACGCCTGCAGGAGCACGTGCGGTTACGGCGGCCCTGGCCTGGAGCGGTTCCTGATCATGCTCGGCAGGTGCAAGAGACTGCAGGATCGGAACCGGCCTCACGGCTCGGCAGGAACTTATGCATCCTTTTTTTTGTTTCGGCAGGAGCTGGACATCAATCGTGTGGAGTGCACGGCAGCTGTGTGGCAATGCTGGAGCCAAGCGCAGTGGCCGCTGCGGGAGCTCGGGCGGGGCGGCCCAAAGTTTTCGTGGGACTTATGGTATAGGCAAGCAATCTCCGTCGTGGGGGTAGGCTTGACCTCCAACCGTGAGGAGGCCTTGGCTTGCAAACTGCGCTGTGCTTGAGTGCCAGGTGCAGGAATACTCACAAATTCCATGAGGGTGAAGAAGTCCAAGCAGCGACTGCGGCAAGGGCGGCCTTCTTCAGTATGCTGAAAGACGTTAAGACGCTGCAGGACCCGGCATGTGAGACACGACCTTTCAGAATCAGCAGTCAGACTGAACTCTCCCGTAGCCGGAAGGCGAAGGCGCAGCAGATAACGAACGGGTTGTTGGCTTGTCACAGGCCCACAACCTTCTCGCCTGCCGCCAGCTTGAATGCCATATGCGGTTGTACCCTAGAGCAGCGAAGTGCTGTGCTGTTTTCACGTCTTCCTCATGAGTTGGGGGCGCGTTCCACACAAAGCCCGGAAGGAGCTGACGGTGACTTCCCTCGAATGCTTGCCATCCACGTGGGACTCCTGGCACCAAGCGGACTGCAAGCTGCAGAAGCTTGTGGTGGAACCTTTCAGAGAGTTTGATATGATTCCCTACCGATTTCGTAAACGGGAACCTGGTGAACTGGAAAAAACGACGGCAACCAGCATTTGGCGCCTGGCGGCCAGCTCCGAGCACCTCGAGGAGCTGTCTTTGCCCGGACATGTTCAAGCCCGAGCCTTCGCCGTCATTCTGAATGCAGGAGCTCCGGTTCCGCGACTTTGCCTCACACGCTGCGTTTTCTGAGATCCGGTGGCGGAAGCTGCGGGTCCTGGATCATCAACGGTGCCTCGGCACCCGTGTCAACGGTGGACTTGTCTGCTGCTGCTGCTGCTGCTGCTGCTGCTTAGGGTCCTTAACCCTAACCCCCCAGGTACCTACTATATAGGGTACTAGAGCCCCTAGGGCCCTATATAGTAGGTACCTGGGGGTTAGGGTAAGGTCATGCAGGATTTATATTATCAACAGTATGGACCCTAAAGCTTCCACCTTCTAAGTCCTAAAGGCTCCTAAAGGAATCGAAGCCCGGGGCCCCAAGTTTCTTGAGGCCTCCGGCCACCTTGCTGCTGCTGCTGCTGTATCTGCAGACTGTCAGGTGCAGCGGCCGGCTGCCCGCTTTTCTTCTCCTGGGACTGGTGGAGTGCAGCTCCCTTGAGGCACAGTCTGATACATGCAGCTTGCTTCACCTTCTGTTTTCTGCCTTTAAGCGAAGGGCTTATACCTTTCGGTGAGGTGCTGCGGCTACCTGACGGATGCCCCGGCATCGAGGAAGCGGCTTGGGAGCAAGTGCCGGCAGGCGCCTGGCCCCATCTGCGCGAGCATGAGAACCTCCCCGAAGAGGTGGTGCTCCGAGTCCGCGGCCCCGGCCCCTCGGCATGGATCCGTCGTTTTTATTCTGAGGGTTTAGTGTCTTACAGTTTCACGCTTCGGTGCCAACTTGTCGGTAGAGGCCCCGCGTCCGCGCCTGTGCCTGCGCCTGGGTCTTCGGACCTTCCTGGCCCCACGGAGTGGCCGCTGCAGGCACTGGCCCGGTGTCGGCACGTAGAGGAGCCGCGCCGGACTGCCCGTCGCTCTCGAGATTCGGCTGCCGCGCCATTCGCAGGACCTCAGCTTCTACTACTTCCCAACAAAAGCATGGGCGGAGATTGCTGGCAGTTGCTGGCCCCAGCTGCGGAAGCTTTGCCTTCAAGGGCAGCGGCTTGGCTGCACCAGCTGCTTCTGAGGAGCACTGTCGCCAGGAGGGTCTCGGCAGGGTATGTCAGAAACCGCAAAAGACCTCATGTGGAAGCCGGATTGAAGACGGCTTCTTGCAAATCACGTTGGCACCTCCCCCCCACCTTTCTATAGACACTCCAGACCAAAAAGCTCGAGATCATTATATGTAATATACCATGCAAAGATCGAGCCTTGCACTCTCAAACCTCATCAGAGCGAAGCAGCGAGAGTCAGGTGAGGCTTTTCCTACTGTTTCCGGCCCCAGGTGTTTCAGAGATGAAAGGCACGGCGAGGCGTCTGCTGCTGCTTGTCTTCGTGTCTTGGCCGGCTGCCATGCCCTGGAGGAGCTGTGTCAGGGTGCCGAGGCGACAGCTTTGCTTGACGAAACTTGATGTTTCCGAGTTGCTGAATCGTAGTCGCCATGTGTGGCATGCCAGATGGCACCTTGGAGTAGCAGACTTATCGGATTTCGGCTGCTGCGCCTTTGGAGGACCTCAGCCTGCGCGACGGCGCCATCCCGGCAGAAGCATGGGCGGAGATTACTGGCAGTTGCTGGCCCCAGCTGCGGAGGCTTTGCCTTCAAGGGCAGCGGCTTGGCTGCAAGAGCTGCTTCTGCAGAGCACTGTCGCAGGAGGGCCTCGGCAGGGTATGTCAGAAACCGCAAATTACATCATGTGGAAGCCGGCTTGAAGACGGTTTCTTGCAAATCACGTTGGCACCTGCCCCCCGCACCTTGCTAGACACTCCAGACCAAAAAGCTCGAGATTATGGTATTTAATATGCCGCACGGAGATCGAGTGAGAGTCAGGATTTTCGGCAGCGCGGCGCGGGAGGCGGCGGCGGCGGCGGCAGCTTGTCTTCGTGTTGTAGCCGGCTGCCATGCTCTGGAGGAGCTATTCAGCTATTCGGAATGCCGGGAGACGTGCTGGCAGGAGGGGGGGCGGCATGAGGACGAAAGGGGGGCCAAGCGGGGGAAGAGGTGGAACAGAAGAATCCTTCACGCGGTTGGCGGATCTGGTTCATGAGCCAGAGAGGCGGCAGTTGACATGGCTTGCTGTTGCGACGAGAGAACCGCTGGTTTTGTCCATTTCAGAGAACAGCAGGGCGACGCTGCAGTGCACGTTCCTAGCAGCTCTCCCGCACTTGTTTCGCAGGAGCTGTACCTGTCCTTCCGAGACAATCTTCCGGAGTCTGTTTGGGAAGCGGTGCCCACCGGGTCCTGGCCCCGGCTCCGGGAGTGCAGCCGCAATCTCCCTGAAGACATCCGGCGGAGGCCCCGGCTCCGAAAGTGCACAGAGAACAGGCAGGATTCGAGTTCCCGGAGACTCTAAAATCCTTTCACTCAGCTACTGTATGAATCATGTCCTGCAGTCGCGTGCGGCATTTTGAGAGCTGCAAAGTGCAGTTGTGTTCAATGCTTTCATGGTTTCAAATCGTTGTCACCAGTCGAGGGATACCTTGCATTCTAGAAGGATCACGATAGGAGTTTTTGGAGTCTCTCTAGGTCCGTCGGCCCCGGAACCCCACACAACACCTCTCGCAGCCAAAGGCACGAGGAGTGGGATTCCGAAGCCGAGAATTTCTGAGAACCCAGGAATCCTATGTCTGATGTCACACAGGGTGGATTCCATCTCGACGCCGAATTCAGAACGCTGATTGCGCATGGTCCGTTCCGAGCGAACCCCGAGCACCCGAAAACCGCGGGAGCAGCTCAGGGCCAAAGGCGCCCGAGCCTTGGTTCGCTGCTGCATTTTTTGGTGAAAGAGTGGAGAGCAAGAGTTTTGGGTGTGCGTCGTCAGGGCTAAGGGTGTTCCGGGATCTTTGTGGGGTCATGGCCGATGGGCGCAGGTGTGAGATGTGTGAGATCACACGTAGCAGGATGTCTCGCATGTCGGGGAGCAGAAACGCAGAGTGCCAGGAGCTAGTCTAGTTGAAGCATGATGCGCGCGCATATCTGTGCACGCGTAGCATGCTGTTCGGGGTTTGAGGAAGTTCAAGCGGTCCTGTAAGCAGCCATGCTAGTCGTTCCCCCCAACGAGCCATTTCCTCGCTTCGTGGAATTCGGAAGACTTAGGCCCTTGTAAGGAATGATGCCCAGGGCTGACTTCAATATACCGATCACCAAGATATATCATGCTATGAGACCTTGATGGCAGACTCCTGCGTTCACACTGGAGACAGCTTCGGTCTGCGCCTGCCAGATGTGGGATGTAGTTCAGAAGAGGCCGATGAAACGCCAACATCTCCAGCATGCAGGACTGACCCAGTACAGGCCGGAGCGCACGGGGTGCGGGGTTTAGGTTTTAGGACTTCAGTAGTTGGTTCAGCGGATTGAGAGGGACTCTGCGAACAAGGGCTCCGTTTCTTTCCTTGGTCGTGTGCTTTTTTGAGAAGGCGTGGCGGAGTCCGACATGTAACAGCAAGTGAGAAGCCAAGCAGTATGGATGAACTATGGCAGATGCATCGGGAGCAGTATACGAGGCAAGGTAAGTGACAATGAAAGCGAGTATGTGGGCTAAACGCACAGTGATTGGTGCTCCCGTTGGGCTTACTGTTCGTACGAACGTTCTTTTAGCCTATTCCCTGAGTCGTAAACCCTGCCAGGAGACCATAGAAGTCCGTAGGGACACTGTCCCTGCACTCCGAAGCTTAATCCTAGCATAGTCACCAGAAAACTTCGAAGGCATTTTGTTGATCCACTAGCAGCGTGCGACAAGACACTACTTCTAGCAACTGTGCCAAAGCAAGCCGGACGCAGCGAGGTAGGGTTCGGGTTTGGGGCCTGGGGTTCGAAGGCCTGAGCCCCATACCTTGAAACGCTCGATTTGTATCTCAAGGCAAGAAGCGAACCTGTTTGTCCTGTGATTCCATGCTTAGTCGGCAATCATTAAGCAACCACGAGTGGTGAAGTGATAGCAGCGGTGAGGGGGCCATGGCTGGTTAAGTTTTGTGCATCGCTGGAGCACCTCACGCGCTGCATGACGGAAACAGGCGTCTCCTGCGTCCTTCTTTGCGTCTTACTCTCCTCTTGCCTCATGACCGCTTGCTCTCCATCCGTCAGGTGGTGCTTTCCCGGCGCAGACCGGTCCTGCACTCAGGTTGCGAAGTTGCGCCTGTATCCAGAGGTGAGGAAACTTATGTTCAATGGTTCATGTGCAAGCTCGCTCGCCAGAACTCGCAGAACAGCTACGGAGTCGACACCTACTTGATACAGGAAGCAAACTTTGAGAAGCGTGACGGGCGGCTGTCCTAAGGTGCGTGTTGAGGCGAACCCCCAGGTATGTTTGGAAGCCTGCTTAACGCCCGACAGTTGACACCCTTTGCTGGCGCTTCTTTCCGCATACAACCCGATGTCGCGCTAACTAACTCAGCAAAATCGAAGACATTGGATGTCCATCCATACCGCCTGGGTTCAAGAGTTGTGCCCAGTGTAGCATCGTTGGTTTCGTGTCTGTAGAATCGTTCGGCAGGCAGGGGATGCTGTGCATGGGTGTCGATTTGCTGTTGCGGTGCTGGCCGGTATCTTCGGCCGTGACTGAACTTCGCTCAGGTGCGCGCATTCTGCCTGACTTTCGATTCAGGCCCCAGCAGAGGGATCGGGAGTTTGAGCTTTGCAAAGGCATGCGAATGTGCTCAAGCCCAATCCGTAACAACCTGAATCATTGAACCTCAAACCTGAGCATCGATAATCACCAATTCAGTTTTCGAATTTACGGATTGGGATTCACGCATAAAAGGAAGTTCTAGTCGCGAAAGCTTCGTAAGTCGGAGCTTGCCACCTCGATCTTCTTCCAAAGTCGTGATTCGCAGATATTCGGGGGAGTTTCATTCATGGTGCCAGGACCTTCCTGTGAACCCCGCTGCCGTCGCGATGCATGGTCGGCTCCAGCAATTGAAAACGGAAGCCATGCAAGCCATGTCGATGCAGCAGCAAGACAAACCGACAGAGTAGAATGTGTAGAAGCGGACGGAATAGCAGCACTGGTAGTTGCTTGTCATGCAGGTAGAAGCGTGCAAAGTGTATTTGGCGCCATATAAATCATGGAGGGCATCGTTGCCGAATGGGACGTCGACAAGCGTTGTGGCAAGATCAAAAAGCATCGCTTCGACAAGAAGTGGTTCTTCGTCCACTACAAGGCCATCATGGATGGAGACACATTGAACCGCGGCTCCATCGTTACCTTTGCCACAAAGACGGTGCGGAACAAAGGCTACGGAGTTCAAGAGCAAGCCAGCGACGTGCATGGCGGCTTTTGGAGCAAAAGCCGAGGCCATCTCGAGAAGTTGGGTTTCGATGCTGGGGTGCAGTCTCCTCTTGTGGCCCAGTTCATCGCCCGTGACTTTGCAGATTCCGAGACCGTTTCTCTGAGACAGAGAGGCCGAGTAGGAGGCTACTCGAAGCTGAAAGATGGCACTGCAGCAGCCCTCCAGCTGCCCATCTACGCTCCGAAGCCTCCAGGCTACAAGCTCGAAAAGGATGAGTGGGAGCCATCCGCGTCCGGACCTCATGCTGGGATATATGAGAGGCTGTCTCAGATGTTGGCATCGTCGGAATTTGAGCATGTGGAGTGCTTGACAGATCGCAACAACCTTATGAAGCTGCTGACCTTCTTGGATTCTGAACGCCACATCACGGATGACCGCTTCATATTCAAGATAGATGCCCAGTTCAAGAACGGCATGCTTGTACTGGAACGAGTCGACCTGAATGACCCGCAGACAGGCATGCCGATCAATCACGTCCTGTCCTATGGCTTTGCTTATGAACGCGAAATCACCACTTCAAGCTTGCAGGCCGAAAAGCACGTGGTGATACAAAAGATGGACCTGCAGCGCATGCGCTTGCTGGTTCGCTGCGAGGTCGATGCTGCAGCCGCCCCGGACATGCAGGAGCTGATGGAGATCAAAACAGGCAATATCAAGTATCGCGAAGCTTGGTATGGATGGAAGAAGGCGGCAATTCAAATGCGTTTGGGCGGTTCCGCCAAGCTGGTCATGGGATGGCACGACAAAGGTGAGTTCCAGCACGAGGATGTTCTGTCTTTTGAGGACGTGCAGTTGAAGGCGGAGAGCTACGACAAGAAGTTCGGAGCACTGGCGAACTTGCTGCGACGGATTCGTGAGATCAGCAAGATGTACGAAACACTCGAGCTGATCTACTCTCCGCCTGAAAGAGGAGAGCTTGGCAGCGAGGCCGAGCTGTTCGTCTATGGAAATCTACGGTGGGAGTTCCTGCCCTCCAGTGGTTCCAACTATGTTCGGCTCTTCTGAGCCCCCAAACAGTCATCCCGTCATCCGCTAACCCAGAACAGCAGCCGGAGAGCTCGCTGTTCCGGTGGTTAAGTTTTGTGCATCGCTATAGAGTGCCTCATGCGCTGCATGAGGGAAACAGACGTCTCCTGTGTCCTTCTTTGCGTCTTACCCTCCCCTTTCTGCGCATGACCCCTTGCTCTCCATCCGTCAGGTGGTGCCAACAGGGCGCAGACCGGTCCTGCACTCAGCTTGCGAAGTTATGCGTCGGCACAGGCAGGTGGAACTCCAGAAGGCCTATGCCCCCGACNNCCCCCCCCCCCCCCCCCCCGCACGGTTTTATACGTATGACATGACCTTGGTTGTTGATGATCTTTTGGCCCAACCCCCAGGTCCCTTCAGAGGACACCTAAATCGGTACTGGAAGCAAACTTTGAGAAACGTGCAGGGCGGCTGTCCTTCTAAGGTGCCTGCTGGGCTCTGGCGAATCCAGGCTGCGGAGCGGGACGGCGAGCTGTGCAGAAAGCGTAAATCTCCCTTCCATCCTTAAGCAGCTGGCCAAACCAAGCCTCCGAAAACCCCCCCCCCCCCAAGTCAGGCCTAAAGCGTCCTTAAACCCCCAATGCCTAAACCACCCTGTGCCTCACGGCCCCCTAACTCGGGGTGATGTAAGGTTTATGTGTGCCTTTAGGTTTTGAGATTTTGCTTGGCAGTGCCTGAATTGGTCGCCTCCCACTCCCTGTCCGTCCCTGGGTCAAGAGCCCCTACTGCTCTTCTTCCGCTTAAAGCCGTACTCCTCACTCGTTTTTCCAGCCATGTTGATGGATGGTCAACTCTGTTGAGTCATCTTTGTATCTCACCAATAATATACGTTGCGATTGTCTGCATACTCTGTTGCTCAAGCATCCCTTGTGACCGAATCGCACGTTGAAAGCCGAATCAATAACGCTTGCGAAAACCAGACTAAACCACAGATACAAAGAGGTTTCGCTTTTGTTTCTGACCGGCCCCAGTCCTTGCGCCGTAGGTCGCTAGGCAGTCCCTCAAGATGGCAACCCTAAGCTTGAACCCTAAGTCGCCCTGAGTCGTCAGGGGCTTTTTGCAGATGCTTATTCTGAGGCCTGCCTGCACCGTCGCCGCTTCAAGAAGCCACGTTCACGAGTTTGTGTGGCTTCTCACGACGCCTCCTGTAGGGGCTGTTGTAGACGGCATATAGCAGTAAAAAGGGTGCACCTTGCAAAGATCCGCAGGCATTCCCCACGTACCGGTGGATCTGCCCCATGATGAAGTTTTCTGAGTTTTGGGCTTCTAGAACGGACTGCTGTTCAAGTTCGCAGAGGCCAGGCGCCTACAGTTTAGGGTCAGACAGGGCCTAGTGCTCCAGGTTTCTAGAGTGCCACTCGGAATGGCGCTGAGTGAGGATGACTTCGAGCATCTGCTCCTGGGCTGCGAGGGGCTCCTTCTCTCTTTTGTTTGAGGCTTAGGGAATATCCAGAGATGACTTTGTTAACCCTTTCCGCAACCTCAGGACAACTCAAGCGCCCCCAAAAGCCCTAGATTTCTCCTCAAAACTCTGAAAAAACTCCAAGCCATCTTAGGCTGGGCCAGCTGCACACTGCTCACGTGCTGGAAGTGCAGCGGCTGAGGGAACAGGTGAGGATTTGGCTTTGGGGGGGCTTTAGGGTGAGGAGGTTGTAGAATAAAGGGGTTAGCTTACGTTTGGGATGAAGCCTTTTGTCGATATAAGGCGAGCCTAGGCTTCAGAGTAGAAGCTCGGCTTTTGAGTTACTGAGTATCTGTCTGCAGTTCAGGGACTGGTTTCGGGTCGTACCTCAGAGGTTCTTTAGTCAGTGCGTGGTAGGGTGTGCAAGGATGAGTCCTAGATTCTTTTAATGGAAGTTGTCCTTGAAAAGGGAGCTCCAAGATCAGAATCCTGAATGGTACGCTTGATGCCGAACCTAAACCCTAAGGCCTAATTACTAATTCGAATGCCGAAAGTCACTGCTCAGGCCTAAACCCGTCAAACCGATGCCTATACCCCCAGAGTCCATATATGCAGCGTTCAAAACCCTATGTGGGAGCTTATATAAACGTTAAGATTGGTTGGTCCGCGTCAGCTGGGGTTCGGTGCTCGGCAGTGGCGCATCAGTGAATGCCGAAAATGCCGGCGCATCAGATTGCCCTTTCTAAAGGTCTCATACACACAACAGAGGGCCAACCACCAGACCTCAACATGGGTCACAGGCCTGCTTCTTACGTTACGTATCCCTCGAAGAGCACCAAGACACCTAAACCCGTCAGCCCGTCATTTCTCTCTCTCTCTCTCTACAAAGAGGTTAATTGACGTGTGGGTGTGTGTAAACTCGGCATGCAAAATTACATGACAGAAGCGGTCTTTGATTCAATCCTATGAAGAGGGCCTAAAGAAAGAGGCCCCAAATAAGCCCATAGCGACGATCCGCAACCGCAGGTCCGGGGCTTCCAAAGAGCCAGCTCCAAGGCACACCCGGATTGTAAGGGCTCTCACAGGGCTTTCGCGGGCTTTTTGGTGGCTTCAGGACTGAAGTTGATGCTTTTGGGGGCGGGGTTTGGGGTTCGTCGGTTCTGGGGCCCTCATCTTCGTGCCAGGCAGCCGGTCTAGCCAGGGTTCTGGGGTTCCAGTGTCGGGGTCCTGTCTTTGTTTCGGCGTGACGATTTGCAGTTTCCGATGTTGACGTCAGGTTTGAGGCCTGGTTTAAAGGTTATAGGATGTAAGGACTCGGGCCACGGGCTGTTTGTTGCGGATGTGGATTTGGGCCCAGGATTTCAGAATTTTATGGCTCAGTAACACCGACCGTAACCATAGTGAGTGTCCACACAGCCGCATTTGCTGCTGAGTGGGCTAGACCTGCGAGGCAGTGTTCAACCCTGAGGCTTCAAAGTTGAAGCCCCATACGCAGAAGCCCCTTGCCAAGGCCCGAAACCCTACACCCTTCAGCCTTCAACTGAAACCACCCAAAGACAAAAACCCTCGCGACCCTAGAGCCAAGGCCGCCCCAAACCTTGAGTTCTAACGGCCCCTTTATAAACCCTGAACCAGAAGCGAAGCGGAGCAATCCGAGCCCGGCCAGGAGCGAATGCGCTCCGAAGCAGAGGCGGAGGACGAGGTCCGAAGAAGCTTCCAGGAGGAAGCTGGGACTTCATTTTGGGGCCGGGTCTTTTGGGGGGCTTTAGTTCCTGTTTGTGGTTCTGAGCCTTGTGCTTGTCATGCGCACCACTGTTGAACTGCATCTAGCTGAAGCTTCAAGCCGGAACCCAGCCTCTTCTCTGTCTGTGTGTGTGTGTGTGTGTGTGGGGTTGAAAGCTTCTGTGACTTTCACGGAGTGGGCAGGTTCCTGAAGTTTTCCGCGTGTTTCTTCAACCCAGATCCGGCCCAAGACCCCCTCCTTGGGCCAAACTGGCAGACTGAAGCTCCCAAAGCTGCGGTCTATAGAAGTTCGGAAGCTGCCCAGAAGAAGCTGCGAGAGGAACATGAGAGATGTTGATAGAGCCAAGCTCGTGAACTCCAAACCCCGAAACGCACAAACCCTGGAACGGTTCACTAAATACCAGTACAAGCCCCTTTGAAGCCTTTGAACACTATCCGACTATCCGCCCCGAAAGTTTTGGTGCGACTTAGGAAGAGATACGGGCCGACTCCCCCGACGAGCTGGAGGTGGACTCCAAGGTACTTCGTCCAAGTACGATGGGTAGTTGTCTTAGACTGGACCCTGATTTACAAAGTCCGGTTATCGGGGCTAGGAGGCTCTTAGAGACGTCGTGGATTGCTAGGAGAAGATGTTTGCTGGAGTTGTCAGAGGTCTCCTAGGGACTTAGCGGCGATTTAGATGGATTGTATGAGGGTGTTGTAGGGCTGTGTGTTGATGTTTGCATCGTTCACATTCTCCAGTGTAGGATGTCTGTCGTCACGGTGGTCCTGTAACGTATACAGGATTTTTTCAAAGCGCCGATAAACGCTTGAACCTGGTCAAGACCCCCAAAGCCCCCACCTCCCGCCCCTTTGCTCCTGTAACACCCAAGACCCCAAGCCTTCTCAACCCCAGAAGCCCAAGGAAAAGGGGCTTCCCAAAAGCGGCTCCTGCACAGGTCTGGAGCCAGGGCAAGAAACGTGGCCTGAAAAGGCAGAAGAAGTGGCGATCTTCCTCGGATTTGCAGTGGCAAGGCTCCGGGAGTCTCGTTTGATTGTTGGGTTTAAGGGTTGAGGCTTCCTTTAAAGGTTTCTGTCTTAGTGAGGGGTACTGTGGGTCTAGTTAGTCTAGTTAAACTAGGGGAGCCCTACATGAAAAAAATGGGTTTAGGGTTTTGGCGAACAGTATCTTGTTGCAGTTATTGACGTGGGCTTTGGAGGTTGCGCCTTGGGCTTGAAAAGGGGGGGCTTCCGGGCTTTAGGCTGGTTTTTTGTTTCAGGGCCTCGGGACTCCCGTAAGGAGCGAGCCCTTATCGGCTCCGATCCTCGTCGCAGGACCGGCCCTTCGACCCCAGCCTAATTCCCCCCGCCCCCTCCCCGAAAAGCAAGCTTCAACCCCACGCAACCCCACAGCTTCATCCACATACCCTCCACACCAAGGACCCCAAACCCCAAAGCCGTGGCAAAAGCAGCCCCCTACACCCCAAACCAAACCCCTAAGCTCCCTCAAAGCCCCGCTCTTGATTCTGGAGGGCAGCTGCGGCCCTTCCTGGCGAAGTGCATCAAGCGCCCCGCCGTGGACTGCACCATGAGCGTCTCGCCTTCACCAAAGGAACCCCCTGGCTCAGCTCAGCCTGTTCCGGGGCATAGTGTTCCCAAGTTTTTTTGCGGGGTGGTCTTGTGGCTTTTCTTTTTGTGGGGTTTCAGCGTTTTTCACGTGTGTGTTGTTGGGGTGTGGCAAGCCACCGCCTAGTCTTTAAAGCTCAGAGTTCCTTGAGGCCGGGGTCCCTGACCCCCTGCATTTCCATACTTCGCCAGCAAGTCGACCGGGTGATGTTTGGAATGTTTGGGAGCGTGTGGATTCGTGCTGTGTTGGGGCTTGTGGTTGAAACTCCCCCCAATTTCCCGCAACGAGGCTTCCTCATCTTCTGCAACGCCTTGATCTTCGCCGTGGAGGCCCAATACCGCGGCTTCGAATTCGCGGATGCCGCGAACTTCCGCGGAGCGCCGAACGGCCAGCAGAATCTTGGCCGCAGACAGATCTTGAGGCTGCTCAGGCTGAGGGGTTCGGCTTCGGGGCTGTTGGACTGACTCGCTGTTGGGACTTCTGCAAGCTTCAGGTCTAGCTTGGAGTTTGACCTCGGTTGTCGGGCTTGCAAGCATGACCTAGCACCAGACCAACTTTGCATTTTCTGCTAGACCTGAAACCAGAAGATAGTGCGTGCTTCGTTTGATCATGGTAGAATTTCAGATTCAATGTGGATTTAAATTCGACGTTATGTTTTTTCTGTGTGGGGTTCAGGTGCCCGGCTGGAGGGAATAGATTCGAATTTAATGCTTTACGGTCATTTACCGTGGCGAAGGCATAAGTTCGAATTATTCCACATTCAATCTTGTCCCGGCATGGAGGGAGATTGGATTTGAATCTAATCTCCCATGGGTTGGGGGGCGGTCTTAAATTTAAAGCACCTTCCAATGCAAGGGTTTTATTCGAATTTAATCCGGGAATGCCGATTGCAACTCAGATCCAAAATAAAATCTGAAAGTTGTCCTCGCGGCAAGGTTCGAATTCGAATTAACATGCTCAGGCTTTGGTCCTTGCAGGGTTTAAATTCAAACATCAAGAGACTGGAGAATTTCGAAAAAAGCCAAGCCGCTCCAAAGGAACTAGTCAATTTCAGAAGAAGGAGCAAACCGCTCGAAAGAGACTAGAGAAATTGAAAGAAAGGGGCAAACCGCTCGAAAGAAACTAGAGAATTTCAGAACAAGGAGCAAACCGCCCAAAAAAGACTAGATAATTTCGAAAGAGACTAGAGAATTTGCAAACAAGGAGCAAACCGCTACCGATCGAAAGGAACTACAGAATATCAGAAGACGTAGCAAACCGCCCGAAAGAGACTAGAGATATTGAAAACAAGGACAAACCGGTCGAAAGCGACAGATAAAGGAGCAAACCGCTTGGAAAAGACTAGAGCTATTGAAGCAAGGAGGCAAACCGCGAATTTGAGAGCCAGGAGCAAGCCGCTCGAAAGAGACTGGGGACCTCGCAAGGAACTAGAGACTTTCAGAAAAAGTAGCAAACCGCTCGAAAGAGACTACATAAAGAATTTCGAAAGAGAGTAGATAAATTGAAGCCAAGGAGCAAACCGCTCGAAAGGAATGAGAGAATTTCAGAAGAAGGAGCAAACCGTTCCAAAGAGACCAGAGAAGTTCGATTGAGACTAGGGAATTTGAGGACAAGGAGCAAACCGCTCTAAAGAGACTAGATACTTTCGAAAGAGACTAAAAGAATCTGAAAACACGGAGCAAACCGCTCAAAAAAATTAGAGAGTTTCAGAAGAACGAGCAAAGCGTTCGAACGACACTAGTGGATTTCGAAAGACACTAGAGAATTTGAAACAAGGGATCAAACCACTCGAAAGGAGCAAGAGAGATTCAGAACAAAGAGCAAACCGCTCGAAAGAGACGAAAGAGACTAGGGCAAATGAAAACACGGAGCAAACACTTTGAAAGGAACTAGAGAATTCCAGAAGAAGGACCAAACCGCTCGAATGAAACCCGAGAATTTCGCAAGAGACTAGCGAATCTGAAACCAAGGAAGAAACCGTTCAAAAGGAACTAGAAAATTTCAGAACAGGTAGCAAACCGCTCGAAAGAGAGTAGATAATTTCGAAAAGAGACTGGAGATTTTGAAAACAAGGAAGAAACCGTTCAGAAGGAACTCGAAAATTTCAGAACAAGAAGCAAACCGCTCGAAAGAGACTAGAGAATTTCTCTGGAGACTCGAGAGTTGAAAACAAGAAGCAAACCGCTCCAAAAGGAACTAGAGAATATCCACTCGAAAGGGACTAGAAAATTTCGAAACAGACTAGAGAGTTCGAAAACAAGGAGCAAATTGCTCGAAAGGACTAGAGAATTTCATTCGGAACAAGGGGCAAACCGCTCGAAAGAGACTAGGGATATTTCATACAAGGATCAAACCGCTCGAAAAGAAACTAGAGCAATTCGGAAGAAGGAGCACACCGCTCGAAAGAGAGCAGAAAATTTCGAAAGAGATTAGAGAATTTTGAGAGCAGGGAGCAAAGCGCTCGAAAGGAACTAGAGACCCTCAAAAGAAGGAGCAAACCACGCGAACAAGACTAGAGAATTTCGAAGAAGACTAGAGAACGTGAAAACAAGAAGCAACTCGGTCGAAGGGAAGAAGAAGAAGAGACTAGAGACTAGAGACTTTGAAAACAAGGGGCAAAGCTCTCGAAGGGAAGTAGAATTTCAGGAACAGCTCGAAAGAGACTAGAGAATTTCGACAGAGAACCTCAGAATCTGAAAACACGTAGCAAACCGTTGGAAAGGAGCTTGAGAATTTCAGAAGCAGGAGCAAACTGCTCGAAAGAGATTAGACGAAAGAGACTAAAGAGTTTCAAAACAAGGGGCAAACGGCCCGGAAGGAACTAGAGAATTTCAGAAGAAGGAACAAAACGCTCAAAAGAGATCAGAAAATTTCGAAAAAAGACTAGAGAAGTGGAAAGAAAGACTGCCCGAAAGGAACTGGAGAATTTCAGAAGAAGGAGCAAACCGCTAGAAAGAGACTAGCGAGTTTGAAATCAAAGAGCAAACCGCTTGAAAGGAACTAGAGACTTCCGGAAGAAGAGAGTCGCTTTATACAAAACAAGGAGCAAATTGCTCTAAAGGAACTAGAGAGCTTTCAGAACAAGGAGCAAGCTGAGACCAGAGAATTTCGAAAGCTACTAGAGAACTGGAAAACAAGGAGCAAACCGCTCACAAGGAACTAGAGATTTTCAAAGGCAGGAGCAGTCCGCTCGAAAGTGACTAGAGGATTTCGAAAGAGAAAAAGCGAAAAAAGTTTGAAAATGAGGGGTAAACCGCTGGAAAGAGACTAGAGAATTTCGAGA